AATACAAGAGAAATATGAGTCTATTTATGGACAATCTAGGTCATCTCATAGACAATCATCTATACAGACTGAATCCACAACAAGAAAACATCAGAAACCCAGTATTAGTCAAGACAGTGGTAGTGAAAGACAATGGGAAGATCAGAGTCAGAACCAACACATGGATGGCACAAGTCCAATTCAAGAAAACAATATGAATCTACTTATGTCTAGTCAATAAACAGGTTCAGACATTCAGGGTCTCATATAGGTCACAGAACTACCAATCAACATTATGAATCTGCCCAGTGATCCTCAGAACCCAATACAGAAGAAAATCAAGGATCCTGCCATGAGAATCTCTGTCTCTAACTCCCCTACTTCCATTTACACTTCAAACCTTTACAATATGATTTCATACCCTTTCAGGCTTTTTGCAGGGTTCCTCTACTACAGCCTGCACATGGATGTTTTGTTCTCCAATGCTCCATCCTTAATTCTCTGCCTGTTTGGTTCATTTTCCAGTCTTATCATTCATAAAGTTGGGTAATTGAACAGAAAAAGTAAAATGCATTTATAAAAATTTATAGATTGTTATTAGCAATTTCTATGTCTGAAACAAGAGCCTTAGAAGTTCTAACTCTAAGATATTATAATTGGTCACAGTGATCTGATGATACTATCAAACCTAATATATATCTGTAACAGTGATATGTAAGATCAAATTGGGTAGAAACTTCAAAATGGAAGTTTCATATAGCTTAACACTGTAATTGATCCCCAAACAATAAAAAATTTGATATAATATTATTAAAATTTAAACGTAACACATGAGAATGCCAAGGAAGACAAGTATACACTGTCTTTTAATCATGACCATCAATAGTAAGTGTGTGTGTGTGAGTGTGTGTGTGTGTGTGTCTCTGTGTCTATGTTTTCATAGGGCCTAAGCTACAAAGAACTCTCAGAAGTAACATGGAAGATGAGGGGGAAAGGACAGAAAGAGCAAAGAAGAAAAAAATATATGTAGAATTTCCCTTAGACTCAGCAGATGGTGATATAGGCACATCATTCTGCCATCCACACAATCAGGAAACAGTGAGTATTCAAAGATGGCATGAGAACCTGGATATTCCTAGAAAGAAGCAGATAAGTTTGAATCTTCTCTTCTCCACTTAAAACCTAAGTGATACGAAACAAGTTATACATTTTCTCTGAGCCTCAGTTTTCTCATCTGCGAAATGGAGGTAATAATACCTAAGTCATGAAATTGTTATGAAGATTAATGAAATGATGTACATCAGCACACAGAGCGCTGTGGTTGGCAAAAAAGAGAGCATAATTTCCCTTCTTCTGCCAACACATGGAAAGGAGGCACTGAAAAATCTTGAGCGTCAAACATACCAAAGAAATATTTTCTCATAAAGCCAAATGTTTTGAGAGGGAAAAACCACTAACCAAACTTATGATGGGAAACTCTTCATGCCAACCCTGTAAACTGTGGAATACATACCATAGAAATCATAAACTACTACCCCACATACCAATATTCACAGATATGTGCCCTTTTACCTCTCAAAAAAATGAGTGTCTCTGATGTTCCACACTTTCTAGTCCTTCTCTTACCCGTGAGATTCTCATCTCCTGAAGAATCTTCCTGAAAAGTAAATAAAGGAGCAGAAAGTAATAAGCTATCTCAAACTTATCATCAACTTTAGGCCATAAGCTAAGAATGTTCTCTACATCTGTAGTTGGTTGAAAAATATATGACATGTTAAATTGTATAAAATTCAAAGATCAATTTCCATAAATAAGTTTTATTGAAACACAATCACACTCATATATGGTCTACGGCTGTTTTCATGCTGTAACAGCAGAGTTAGTTGAGTAGTTGCAAGACAGACCATCTGGCCCACAAATCCTATCAATATTTATTAGCTAGTCTCTATAGAAAAAGGTTGTTGATCTCCTCATTTAGGAGAATGCTGATATCAAGGGCATGTTCACCTGGCAGTCTTTACTTGCAACCCCTTTCCTCTCTCTGAGACAACAGCTCACTCCTCAAGGAAATTAGTCTTTGCTCAGCAAATTCCACCTCCCCTTCACTCCTACAGTCTTGGTCACACCTTTAAAAAGGTCATTGCTCTGATGAAGCACGACAACCTGGCCCAAATCAAGCATCCAAAGGAAACAGACTACAGAATGAATACTGACTCTACCTCCCTCTGGGTAGTTCTTAGAAGAAAACACATAGCCTAATGATGATAGAATTTGAAATCCTATAATTATCATTTGCCAATAGTTTCTTCCGCTCCTTCTCAAACTCTGATGACCATATTGCACAAATAAGTTTTAAATCTAGGTAACTTCACTCATCTTTAGTTAAAATTTGTGTTATACATTCACAATGGATAAAATGCAGAGCATTGCCTTCAGGGATAAGCAAAGAGCAATTCATTGATTACCAAGGCTAAGATTCCATTTATATTCAGGTGAAATCATGTCTTCTGAGATAAATATGGAAAGAGCAGGCTGTGAAAAAGTAGAAACTGGTCAACATAGAGGACTATTAGTCAAGAAATTGCTCCTCTTTCAGTTCAACACAAACTGACATTAATTGGACACCTTTATGTACCAAGTAATACATTTGGTCTCTAAGTAATACTAGGATAAATAATGCTCATTCCCTATTCTCAAGAAGCACATAGTCTGGAAGGTACATAAGCACATAAACAAATATGTATGCGTGAAAAAATAGTCAATCAAATAATTAAAAGTGAGCCAAATAATTAATAGTAGCTATTTCTGGCTAGTATATTTACAGATATTTGAATTTTCTTTTCTTCACTTATCAAAATGTTTTCTAATTTTTATAATATATATCAACTGCATAATAAGATAATTTTAAAGATTACAATACAGTGTAACTAATATAACTACAAAATTATGAACAAATTTATCATTTATACCTCTTTCTTGAGTAATCCAAGAAAAACTTCCTACAGGGTAGGGGCTAAAGTAGATTGAAGAATTAATATTTCATTAGGCAGATAATGAGAAAAGGTATTCTAAGAAAAAATATTAAGTAATATAATACATTCAGGAAAGTGGAAATAGTTAATTATAAGTGTAACAAAAAGGGGAATCTGGAGAAAAGAAAATGGAGGTTGGAGAGAAGACACAACCCAGATCATGAGGGATTTTGAACACTGTGCTTAAGAACATGCCTTTCTTCCTAAGGTTATATGGCTGTTCAAATGAAAGCTACAATGATTAATGGTCACTAATGTCAAATAAACTGAGTCAGTTAAACAGATGAAAAGGAGAGCCTCTACAGCCATTATCCATTCCAAGAGGTAATAATAAAATCATGGGTAACACCCTGACTGAGAATCTCATATAAGAAAATTTAGCTTAGAATGGGAGTATGACTATATGATATTTTTAAATATTTTTTAGCTATAGATGAATACAATATCTTTATTTTTGTTTATTTATTTTTATGTGATGCTGAGGATCAAACTCAGTGCCTCACACATCGAAGGCAAGCGCTTTGCCACTGAGCTACAACCCCAGCCCCTAGATGATCTTTAAGGTTCCTTTTGAACATTTAATTCCATGATTCTTTGACATTTGGTCCCTGATGTACCTGCACATACTCCATCCAACTTCCATTAAAGTCCGCACAATTTTTTGTTGTTGTCAATGCACTGTGCTACATAGTTGGGTGAATATACAGAGGCCTTTCTGCAAAGTGTCCTGACATTTTGGCAGGTGGGGCTGATACTAGCCCAGATTTGGGAACTGCTATTGCAATCTCAGGTGAACATGTAAGGAAGTAAGAAGGTAATCATCTGGGAGGTGGAGATGGAGAAGGAGCAGGACTTGTTTAGGAGTGAATTAGGACATCTCAAAGAGTGCAACTCCTCCCTAAGATGACCATTATTTTCATTATAAAAGGGCCTCTATCCCCAAACTAGAAGCACCCTGCAAGCTACTTCAATCTCCATCCTATTGTTCCTCTGGTGCACTAGGTAAGTGAGCAGGGATTAAGTTCTTCTACTCACGGGTACTTAGGACTATAAATTATGAAAGTCCAGGATATACTTTAAGGCAAAGAGGCACTGGATACCAGTCTTCTTTTTAGTATACTATTAGGAACTTTGGTATAAGTTAACTTTATTGAGAAGGAAAATGAAGCAACAACTAAACTCTATATAATAGTATCTCATTTCTTTGACATCTTTCATTAAGATCATGGGAATCTAGTTATCCATTAGATTGGTTGTTTCTTTTACTACTGAGCTTTTTCTCTATGTTGTACAACCAGTATGGCCTAAAGGTCAGTGACTGCTTGAAGAATAAAAACAAAAGCTTAATCTGATAGCAGACACCCCAGCGACTTATTACCTACACCTATGGTTGGCATTGCCCACTATGTCTACTTTCCCTTGTCTAGATGTCTTGAGGGTCCAGTTCAGCTACAGAAGCTCCTTAGCTGTAGTTAGGTACACCATATAGATGATAGACTTGTCTCTTAAAGTGTGATGACTGAGACCTATTTAAAAAAAAAACAATAAGGGATTGGGATATAGCTCAGTTGGTAGAGTGCTTGCCTCATATGCACAAGACCCAAGGTTCAATCCCCAGCACCACACACACACACACACACACAAAAAAAAAACTAGTAAGTGAAAGAACTGGCACACGGAATTTCTATAGCTCCAGAACAAAGCTCATATTCTTTACTAAAAGCAGAGAGTCCAAAACAGAAAGTCTTTGCTCCTACATTCATTCAGGAAGGGAAATAAGATATGGATTGTGTTCCTGATTTCATCACTCTCTTGCTACGTGGCTTGAACAAGTTGCTCAATTCTGGATTAGTTCTTGATTACAACAGGATAAAATTAATCATGGCTGATAATTACTAAAATAATTGGACCTATTTATATATTTAAATAAAAAAGAATAATAATAATATTTTTCTCCCTTAGGTTAACTTAAATTTGAAAAAAAAAAAGATGTCTAAACTCCTACAAGGCATTGTCACTGTCATTGATGTTTTCTACCAATATACCACCCAACATGGGGACTGTGACACGTTAAACAAGGCAGAGCTGAAAGAACTCTTGGAAAATGAGTTTCACCAAATTCTGAAGGTAAGAACTCCAAGTTAGGACTAAATTTTCTAGCAGTTCTCTTCTTCATCACTTCCTGCCTTTTTGTCATATATGCCAAACATCCTAGAGAATTCACCCTACGTGGTAATAATGAACTAGGTTTGGTAGGATTGAGGTACCATCAAAAGTTGAACCATATGCTTTCCATAACATGACCAAAGTCAATAAACCTACTTAACAATAGAAAACATACATAGATTTTTAGATGTCCTATCTATGGTGTAATATCCTATATTAAAATGTCCTACCTATGGTTCTCAGAAAAATTGCAAAGTAGTTGACATGCATCTCCTTCCCTTTGTCTTTTCATTTTGAAATGTCTAGACCACTGCTCATTTCTAAGATTCTGGTACCATAAGGCCTCTAAATTCAGTACATTTGTACTCCTAAATCACTAAAAAGAATGTGCACCACTTTAAAATTGTCAGTTTTAGAAATAAGTTGTTTGGGAACTTAAATTTAGCTGTTCAGTTTCAACTCCTTAAATTTAACTGCCTACTGAATATTGTTATTTGGAATTCTTTTGATGTTTTAAATTACAGGTGTCAGATATGAATCTCATCGTCTTCCGTTCTAAACTCATTCCTCCTCCTTTTTGCCCAAGGTAGAAATCTGGTGCCATTCTTCATTTCCTCATCCTCAGCAGGCAGCACCACCTTCCATCCTCCATCTAGTTCATCTACAGATTTTAAAACAGCCCATTTCTCTCCATCACTATTCTTAGTCCCCTAGTTCAAGCCATTTCCCACTTCCAATCTCAACATTTGATACTCAAAATCCTCCAACAGCTCCCATCTGCTCATAATCTAAAGTCCTAAACTTCTTTTTTTTTAAAGAGAGAGGGAGAGAAGAGAGAGAGAGAGAATTTTTAATATTTATTTTTTAGTTATCGGCGGACACAACATCTTTGTTTGTATGTGGTGCTAAGGATGGAACCTGGGCCGCACGCATGCCAGGCGAGCGCGCTACCACTTGAGCCACATCCTCAGCCCCTAAACTTCTTAACATGGCTTAAAAGTTATAAACTAGACCTGATATCTCTCTAGTCACATCTCTTGAGTCCTCAAACTCTAAATCTAGCAATCTGGATTTCCTTTCAGTTCTTTGAATGAGCCATACCTTCTCTCACCTCTAGCCCTTTGTTCAAGTCATTCCCTCTGCCTGGAAGAATCTTTTGCACCCTCTTCTTTCCTTTCTATCCCTTCATTTGGCTTATTTTAATTCTTCCTTCAAAAGGCAACACATCCTCTCATTAACCTTTCTTGGATTCTGAGTGGTTACCCTCTGATACCACTCATAGAAATTTTATTACAATAAATTATAAGTTGGTGTATCTGACCCACTTAACTTTAAATTTCATTTTGTCAGATCCAAACTTGTTCACTGCTTTATTTCCTCATATAACACAATGCTAGGCAGATAAGAGTATACAATAAATCTTTCTTGAATGAATAAATTAATTAGTTAACTATTAAATTTGACATATAAAGAAAAGCCACATATGATTAATATGGGAATCCAAAATGTTCCTATTTGACCATTCTTCTACCAACAATAATTGTTTCCCTTTCATCTTTCAGTTGTATCCCCTTCTAACTATTTCTCTCTGCATTATTCATTGCATATTCCTTTCTCTTTGGGAGTAATCTAGCCCAAAGGACTACATGGTTGAGCTCCACCTAAATATGCCAACCACTCACATTTCTACAGTTTTCCTTCAATTGGTTAACTGAGTGTGTAGTCCATACTGACAGAGCTGCCCTCTGTACCTTGTTCCTATACAGAATCCAAATGATCCAGACACTGTAGATATCATCATGCAAAGTCTGGATCAAGACCACAACAACAAAGTGGATTTTACTGAATATCTTCTGATGATATTCAAGCTGACTAAGGCTTGTAATAAAATCATTGGCAAAGATTACTGCCAAGCTTCAGGGTCGAAGCAGAGAGATCACAGTCACCAGCACCAAGAGGAACAGAGTGAAACAGAAGAAGAGAAAGACAAATGGCAAGAATCCTCTTCCAATTATTCAAGTTCAAGTGCAGAAGAGAATGATTCCTATTCCAAGAGCTCTAGAGGAAACATTAAACACAGGCCTAGGTTCACATCCAGAAAATTGAAGGAACAAGGAATTTTGTCTAATTCTGGGCACTGGCAAAGCTCTGGGGAAAGGAAAGAGTCAAGTTCAAGCCACTTTGAGCACAGTGAAAACAATAAGCATGGTACTCATCAGCAAGAAAGAGCCAACCCAAAAGAATTTTTAGGGAATAAACAACATAATAAGAAATCAGGCCTGTCCTCTGGTAGGAAGTATCATGGATTCAGCTCAGGGAGTTATGAAGGACAAGACTACGGGTCAAACTCAAATGACCATTCTGGTTATGCTAATGAGTCTAGCTCAGGCCAGCCCTCTCAACAGAGATGGCATGAACCAAATGTAGAATCTCAATCAGGTAACTGTGAAGAACAAGGATACTATTCCAGTTCAAGTGAGTCTTCCAGTTATGGAAAATATAGGTCAAGCTCAGGTCATCCCCCTAGTAAAAGAAGACATACATCCAGCTCAAGTGAGTCAAGGAGTTGGGAAAAACAAAATCAGGGATCTAGCTCAGGCAAGTCATCAAGTTGTGAACAAGATGGATCTGATTTAGATCAGTCATCACGATATGAACAACAGGGCTCTAGCTTTAGTCATTCTTCTAGTCAAAGGCAACCTAGATCAAGCTCAAGTGGTATATCAGAATACAGGCAACAAGAAAAATATGGTTCTGGATCAAGACAGTCCTCAAGCAATGAAGAATATAGGTCTGCATCAGGCAAGTCCATAAGCAGTGACAAAAATCGATCAAGCTCCTATCGGTCCTCTACTCAGAGAAAACACAGAAGCAGCTATACTCATTCATCAGAAAGTGACAGAAGACAAAAGCATGGCTCTGGCACAGGTCAGACCTCTGTCTTTGGTCACGAGAGGTCTCGCTTGGGAAAGCATACTAGCCACGGTCACCTAGAGACTGGATCTGGAGAGTCTTCTGACTATGAACAATGTGGGTATGGATCCAGCATTTCTTCCAGGGAAAAATACCATGAATCCAATTCAGGCTGTCAGTTGGGGAGTTCTACGAGACAAACGCATAGCTCTGGATCAGGCCAATCCTCTAATTATGGAAAATATGGAAGTGGCTCAAGCCTATGTTCTAGTCAGAAACACCATGAGTCTACCTCAGGTCAATCTGTTAGTTACGGTCAGCATGGTTGTGGGTCAAGTGAGTCTTCTGGTTCTGCTCAACAACAGTCTGCATCTGGAGAGTCTTCTGCATTTAATCAACATGGAACTGGCTTAGGCCAGTCCTCTAGTAGTGGACAACATGGCTCATACTCAGGTCAGTCATCAAGCAGTGAACAACATGGGTCCAGCTCAGCTCAGTCTCCCAGCTATGGCCAGCACAGATCTGGATCAAGAAAATCTTCTAGGCAGAGGCACCACAGTTCTGGTTCAGGAGGGTCTTCAAGTTTTGGACAAGGATCCAGTTCAGGAGAGTCCTCTAGCTTCAGTCACCATGGAACTGGCTTAGAGCAGTCCTCCAGTAGTGGACAACATGGCTCATACTCAGGACAGTCATCCACCTGTGGCCAACATGGGTCCAGCTCAGGTCAGTCTACCAGCTATGGACAGCATGGGTCTGGGTTAAGTCAGTCTTCCAGCTATGGCCAGCACAGATCTGGATCAAGTCAAACTTCTAGGCAGAGGCACCACAGTTCTGGTTCAAGAGGGTCTTCAAATTTTGGACAAGGGTCTGGTTCAGGAGAGTCCTCTAGCTTTAGTCACCATGGAACTGGCTTAGGCCAGTCCTCTAGTAGTGGACAACATGGCTCATACTCAGGACAGTCATCCAGCTGTGGCCAACATGGGTCCAGCTTAGGTCAGTCTGCCAGCTATGGACAGCATGGGTCTGGGTTAAGTCAGTCTTCCAGCTGTGGCCAGCACAGATCTGGATCAAGCCAAACTTCTAGGCAGAGGCACCACAGTTCTGGTTCAGGAGGGTGTTCAAGTGTTGGACAAGGGTCTGGCTCAGGAGAGTCTTCTGGCATTAGTCACCATGGAACTGGCTTAGGTCAGTCCTCTAGTAGTGGACAGCATGGCTCATACTCAGGACAGTCATCCAGCTGTGGCCAACATGGATCCAGCTCAGGTCAGTCTGCCAGCTATGGACAGCATGGGTCTGGGTTAAGTCAGTCTTCCAGCTGTGGCCAGCACATATCTGGATCACGTCAAACTTCTAGGCAGAGGCACCACAGTTCTGGTTCAGGAGGGTCTTCACATTTTGGACAAGGGTCTGGTTCAGGAGAGTCCTCTAGCTTTAGTCACCATGGAACTGGCTTAGGCCAGTCCTCTAGTAATGGAGAACATGGCTCATACTCAGGACAGTCATCCAGCTGTTGCCAACATGGCTCTAGCTCAGGACAGTCTTCCAGTTATGGTCAGCATAGATCTGGTTTAAGTCAGTCTTCTAGCTATGGACAACACACAGCTGAATCTGGCCAGTCTTCTATTCACAGGCAACATGGGCCTGGTTCAATAGAGTCTTCTGGTTTTGGTCAACCCAGGTCTGGCTCAGGTCAGTCTTCTAGCTTTCAGCATGGGTCTGGATCAAGTCAATCTTCCAGTTTGGGGCAACAAAGATCTGGCTCAGGAGAATTTTCTGGCTTTGGTCAACATGAATCTTGTTCAGGAGGTTCTTCTGGCTTTAGTCAGAATAGATCTGGCTTAGATCAAACTTCTGGCTATGGACAACAGGGTTCAATATCAGGACAGTCATCATGCCATGACCAACCTTGGTCCAGCTCAAGTCAATCTTCCCACTATGGTCAACATGGGTATGGTTCAAATCAGTCTTCTAACTCTGGCCAGCAGAGATCTGCCTCAAGTCATTATTCTAGCCACAGCCAATTTGGATCTGGCTCAGGTCAGAGTTGTAGCTCTCAACAATATGGGTCTGGTTCACGTCCTTCCTCTATATCTGCACAACCTTATTCTGGATCTGGTCAGTGTTCTAGTTCTAAACCGTATGTGTCTGGTTCTTGTCCCTCATCTATCTCTGGACAATGTCGTTCTGGATCTGGTCTGTGCTCTAGCTCTCAACAATATGAGTATGGCTCATGTCACTCATCTAGATCTGGATCATGTAGCTCTGGACCCAGTCAGTGTTCTAGTTATGAGCAACATGAATCACAAGGGAGATGTGGAAACCAGTGTGAATCAAACTGTAACCATTCAAATTATAATGAAGGACAATCAAGAAGCAGTTATAGACCAGCAGAAAGTTCCTCAGGTTGTACCTTTGAACAATTTACACCCTGTTATGAACAGTCTAGATCCAATACTACCAATACACTGCCATTATACAATGAGGACAATAGACAAGGTGGCTACTGCTATCAAAGAGGAAGAGTAAGTAACTATGGAGGGGGAAGTTTAGGTTCAAATTCTCATAGTTTTAATAGTAGCACTCCACTTTATGAATATGTCCAAGAGCAGAGGTGCTAATTCTAAGAATGAATAATAAACAGAAGTTAAAATAACTCAAATAGCAATTTAAGAAATGAAAAATTTGCAGATAAGCAACTCATGAAATTTCTTTCTCAAAGTAGATATATCTTTTTCTATTCTTTTCTCTTAAAGCTATAATGTACTCTATTCCTTATTATGCATTCCTTCCAAAGAATGTAGGATATTTAGGCTAACTCTGTTAGGAAATATTTGCTTGAATAAATGATTAGTGTTGCGGGTTAAATTCAGAATAAAGCAAAAGTATTTAAGAGTATGGGATTTAGTTAAGGTATCTTTGAGAGGTCATTGTTTAATTAGAGATGATTCCAAAACAAAGCTTGTAGCTTTATAATGCTATATAGTATAAAAGCATTGCTAGTCCTGGAGCCAAATCTTTCTATTAAAGCAATACATACTCTAATTTTTGGTGTGACCTACACTAAACAGTAGCAGAAACACAAAAACAAAGATGCAGCCTTGGTAGCTTCTTTGTTTCTCAAAACCACCAAACCCCTATTTTGGGGTATACCAGTACTAATCAGTGGCATTAAAAAGTTGCTCCAAATGTTTCTCCCTAGCCAACAAGCAAGAATATGATTTGTTTTGTTTTGTTTTGTTTTAACATACTAGGGATTGAACACAGGGATTCACACATGCAATGCAAGCACTCTATCACTGAACTACATCCCCAAATGCCCTCCCACCCCAACTTTTTAAATTTTATTTTGAGACAGGGTCTTCACTAAGCCAGCCTCAAACTTGTGATTCTCCAGCCTCAGCCTCCCCAGTAGCTGGAATTACAGGCATGGGCCACTGTGCCCAGAAAGATTATTTCTTAAAGAGCAGAGATGGATCAGTTCAGGATCAAATGATCCAAATGTGGGCTTTATTTTGGGTCAGCAAGAACGATCTTGGCTTCTATTTCTGTGAAGTTGTTCTGAACTGGAAAACTTTAGAGGTGCTATAAAATAGAAATATAATTCCTCCTGTCATTTACTATCCTTTCCATGTAGGGAAATATCATCAATACCCAACTGGAAAGGAAGACTGTCACAGTTATATATATGGTTCTTTGGTTTGACTGTAATGTGTTTGTTTTAAGTCTTTGGATTCAAATAACTGTATTACATTAAAATTAACAATACATAAATGGTGATCAAATACTGAGTTTTGTCTCATCTCTGCTTCATTCCATTTCTCTCACATAGGTGGTCAAACTAAAAACTAACAAGAATAACCTATTTCCTGAAGTCCTATTCTTCATAAACAACTCAGAATATCTGAAAAGTTTTTAAATCTTATAAGACAATTTAATTTGAAAATGGGAAAAATGTCCACTTTCACCACTCCTATTTAATACAGTGCTAGAAATGCTAGCCAGAACAATTAGGTAAGAGAAGTAAATAAAAGGGATAAAAATAGAAAAGGAAAAAGTCAAATTAGCATTATTTGTAGATGACATTATCCTAAACAGAGACAATCAAAAAAAAATCCACCATAAGACTGCTAGAGCTAATAAAAATTCAGCAATATAGGGTTACAAAACCAACATACAATAGCTTTCCTATTTACCAACAATGAATCTGCTGAGAAAGAAATCTCATTATAATTCCATTCATAATAGCTTGAAAAATAAAAATACCTAGGAATAAATCTAACCAAGGAGGTAAAAGAACTCTACAATACTATGGAACACTGAAGAAAGAAATCGAAGAAGATACAAGAAGATGGAAAGACCTCCCATGCTCATGGATAAGCAGAATTAATATTGTTTAAATGGCCATACTACCAAAGGCACTATACAGATTTGGTGCAATCCCTATCAAAATATCAATGATATTCATCACATAACTAGAAAAAAAAGTCCTAAAATTCACTTGGAAAAATAAAAGACGCAGAATAGCCAGAGCAATTCCAAAAAAACAAAGCAATGCTGGAGACATAGTAACCAAAAGTGCATGGTACTAGCATAAAAACAGACACCTAGAGCAATGATACAAAAATAGAATACACAGAGAGGAACCCACACATCTCCAGTCATCTGACCCTTGACAAAGGTGCCAAAAACATACACTTGAGAAAAGACAGCCTCTTGAACAGATGGTGCTGGGAAAATTGGTTATCCATATGTGGAAGAATGAGACTATACCCTTATCTCTCACCCTGCACAAAAATCAACTCAAAATGGATCAAAGACCTAAAAATTAGACCAGAAACAATGCAACTCTTAGAAGAAAACGTAGGCTCAACAATCCGGTATATGGGCACAAGCAATGACCTTCTCAATAGGACCCCTAGAGCTTACGAAATAATGCCAAAAGTTAATAAATGGGGTGACATCAAAATAAAAAGCTTCTGCAAAGCAAAGGAAACAAAAATGTAAAGAGAAAACTCAAAGAACAGGAGAAAATCTTTGCTAGCTACTCCTCTGACAGATTAATACCTATAATAAAGAACTCAAAAAACTTAGAACCACAAAATAAAAACAATTAATAAATGAGTGAATGAATTGAACAGAAACTTCTCAGAAGAAGAAATACAACTAGCCAACAAATATATAAAGAAAAATAATAAACATTATTAGCAATTAGGGAAATGCAAATCAAAACTACACTGAGATTTCATCTCATACCAGTCAGAATGGCAGTCATTAAGAATACAAACAGTAATAAATGCCACAGAGGATGTGGAGAAAAAGGAACACTTTTATATTGTTGGTGGGACTGTGAATTATTTCAACACTATGGAAATCAGTATGCAGTTTCCTCAAAAGACTAGTCATGGAACCACTACATGACCCATCTATACCATCCTTCAGTATTTAGCCTAAAAAAGTTAAAGTCAGCATACTATAGCAATACATGCATAACCATGTATAACAGCACAATTTACAACAGCCAAACTATGGAAACAGCCTAGTTGTCCATCAACAGATGAATGGATAAAGAAAATGTGGTATATATACACAATGGAGGTTTACTCAATCATAAAGAAATATGAAATTAAGTCATTTGCAGGAAAATGAGTGGAACTTAAGACCATTATGTTAAGTGAAATAAGTCAAATTCAGAAGGTCAAGGATCATGTCTTTTCTCTCAAGTTCAAAAGGAAAAAGGGAAAGAACAGTTGGGCAGGGGGAGGGTAATCACATGAAAAGCAAAGAGAGATCAATAGAATAGAGGAAGGGAACCAGTGGGGGGAGAAAGTACTAGGGAGGTATGTTGGCCAAATTATATTGTTATATTGTATGCATGTTCTAATATGTAACAACAAATCCCACCATTATGTACAACAATAATGCTCCGGATCAAAAAATGTGAAGAAAAACATTTTTTGAAAAACCAGGAGGATATGAAGAAAGGGTTTTCACAGGCAAATGTCTAATAGTAACTATCACAAAGACTCTACCAAGACCACAACCTTCCACAAAAAATACTTCTACAAGGACATCTGCCCAGCAATTTTCTGTTCAGCCTTGTACTGGCACCATTCTTATTATTAATCCTGTGGCCAAACATGGTTGTTCCAAAATATATTCTGGAGGAAGCCCATCAACCCTTAAAACCCATCAAAGGGGGCGTGGCTACAAGCACAGTTCTGCGGCTGATCCAGGTACCCAGTTTCCAACTCCCCCATCCTTAGCTGCGACAACTCAAAATATTTCCCACAAGCTTTTGGGAGGTGTAGCTATCAACGCAAAACAACAACTGTACAGGCACCTGGTTTCCACCTCAGAGACTAGAGTAGGGAGGACACAGGTAGAAGCTCATATCCTTTCACACTGGCTATATCCAGAAACAGGATGCTGTGACAAAATTACCAAGGGAATCTCTTTTTTGTGGGACACTTTGGGATATAATAAATTTGAGATGCTCAAAGATATGCAGGTGCATATACAGGTCCCAATGACATGCTGTCATTATGCCTTGTGTCAGATTCCCAGGAACATCCAGTTAAAAATATCTCATGATGATACAATGCAAACTTCTCAACCTGATGCTCCAGGCCCTGCTCCAGTGAGCCCTGCCCCTCTATCCTCTTACCACTGCCATTCCCAAACACACCCTCTCCATTTCATTTAGGCTAATTTTCTCATTGGCCCATATTAAGTTTACTCCCACCCTTTTCTCTCCCTTACACCTATCTTTCCTTCTACTTATCCTTCCAGACCAAGTAGCCCCCACCTTCCTCATTCTCTTCTACTGAGAATTACCAAGCTTCCCTCTCCTCTAAACTACTAGTTCCCAGATAATAAATTACCTAAAAATAAAGTATTCTGACCTTTGCTGCCATTTTACCTGTGCAATAACCCAAGACTTTAACACATGGCATCATAATCTCACAGCACCTGGGGGAAGTAAGAGAAAGGGATATGGCACAATTCCAGAATCCTCAGAGACAAAGGCGGAGAGAAATTACACAGGCTCAAAGAGGCAGCTTGAGGGTAAGGGGCACAATTCCCAAGTAGAGGAGTACAGAGTCTCCAATCAAGTAAAAAGACCCCAACAATGGAGAATACAGGTGACAATACAGCTTAAGAAGGGAACTAAGAATCCAGGTGAGATTGCTAATTGAGGAGTAGAGAGAAAAGCACAAGGCCAGTCTCATAAACTGATCCAAGACAGGGTAAACTGGTCCGAGACAGAGTACAGGTAATAGAGACTTGTGACTTGGGGATAACTATTTGGACCAGATATTGACTGGAAGCAAAAGGAACCCGGGAAAAAAATTCAGGAATTTAGGAACCAAGAATGGATGACCAAGTTTAAGAACATGCCTTAATTCTAAGTTAACTTTTGGACTTATTTTGAGAAAAGTGAGAAGAATAGATGAAAGAAAAGAGATGAAGGTCAAAAATGTTTATGTACAGATCATTAGACCTTTAAGGGAATTGGCCATGTCTTATGCCTCACTTCTACCCTCCATAGCACTTAGCAAAATAAATATTTGCTGATTACATTTAAAAAAAAAGATCACAGTTTGTATATTACCCAATGGAGGGTAAGTATGCCAAGATAACATGAGTTATCACTTAGCAGGCATGCATTGTGTAGGTTTACGAGAAAGTTCTCTCTTTGGCAATCAGAGTGGTAGTATTATCTGGTGAATGAACACAGGACTAAAAATGAAAACATAAAACTAGACCAGCTTTATTAACAACCTCTTAAAAGACCTTAAACAAGTCCCTTCACTTCCCTGAGCTTCAATTACTTCATCTATAAAGAGGTAAATATAACTGCTCCAACTTTTTCAAAGTATTTGGAACACTTTTCCTCTAGATTTCTGCTTAACCAACTTCATTCCCTTTTTGAATCCTAGTTTAAATCTTGCCTTCCTACTGAGGCCTATCCTAACTAACCTATCTAAAACTGTAACCTGCCCATCTCAATATGCCCACCAACACACTCTGATCTTTTTTTTTTTTTCTTAACACTTATGACATACTACCTAATTTGTTATCTTTATTTATGTTTGCTAGAATGTAAGCTCCATAAAGGCAAAGACCTCTGTCCTATTTGCTGATGTACTTCAAATTTCTGGATGATGTCTCAAACAGAATAAACAACCAATAAATATTTGTTGAATATACAAATTAATCTAATAACGGGTAAAATGTTATGAAAGAAAGATTAGGATAATAAACCACTTAAATTCTCCTTGAGGCCAAGATTTCCTGTTCACACCATCAAGCATTCAAATATCTCCGGGTACCCTGTACCATAATGTGGGATTGGTGTTCAAAAAAAAATTTTTTTTATTAGTTGTTCAAAACATTACAAAGCTCTTGACATATCATTAGATTCAAGTGGGTTATGAACTCCCATTTTTACCCCAAATACAGATTGCAGAATCACATCGGTTACACATCCACATTTGCAGAATACAACAGTCACTAATATGGCATCATGTAAAAATGTGGTGTTCAAAATTAGAGGAACCAAAGGGCAAGTACAATCACAGTGCTCTGGGGCCCCCTGCTGACAACTCTTAGTCACTACCCAAGCAATTAAACTGACAGGACTTTTCATAGGCGAATGGGATTATAAAGAATATCCACCTTCACCCAATGAGGACATTAAGGCTGAAGATTAAAAAAAAAAAAAGGAAGGAAGGAAGTTCCTGGAAATTTCTAAACTTTCCTGGAAGAGATAGCTAGAAGCACTAACCTCTTCTGAAGGATCATACAGCTTGTGTTTCCTAGAACTTACTGTCCACTTACCATGATAAGTTAAGCATACGCACCTCATGAGCTCTTTTCATGGGTCAGATACTATTTTTTTTTTTGGAGGGGGGGGGGCTCACTGGGAATTGTAATCAGGGACACTCGACCCCTGAGCCACATCCTCAGTCCTATTTTGTTTTTTTAGACAGGGTCTCACTGAAGTGCTTAGCACCTCGCTAAATTGCTGAGGCTCCCTAAATTGCCTCCGCCTCCCTAGCCGCTGACCTGACAGGTGTGCCACCAGGCCGGGCATCAGATACCATTTTAAGCAACTTCGTGGTGGGTGTCCTTGTTTTTGCGGTACTGGGGTCTGAACGGGGAGGGGGGGGGGGCGTTTCACCACTGAACTATGTATCCCCAGCCCTTTTTATCTTTTTCTTTTTTTTTTTTTTTTTTGAGACAACATCTCGCGCTAAATTGCGCAAGCTGGCCTTGAACGTGGGGCCCTGCTGCCCCCACCGCGTGAGGGGGCCCCAACCCGGCCACAGGTCGCACTCGCTGCACCCCTCACCCCTCACGGATGGAGAAGCTCCCCTACCACCCTTTTCCCTTCGGACACTTCTTTTGGAAATAACTTATTTAAATAAATAAATCACTGAGGCAATCTTAACCAAAATGTTCACAAGAATCCTCGAGGCGCGGTGGGAACGCTGTCCGGGGAGCCGGGCCTGGCGCGGGGAGACCCCCGAAACCCCCCTCAGGAGACTCCGCCAGGCTTCAGCCTACTGACCTCCCAGGAACGACCTCGATGACTTCAGAAAATGGAGGATGCGGCCTGTCCCCACAGAGAGCCACCAGTGAGCCCAGTGAGAAGCGACTCGCTCAAGACCGCTCCAGTGGGAGTCCGTCTGCGGGCAGCGCGCGTCCCGGAAGTAGCTCTCTCTACTTCCTCCAGCACGACGCGAGAACGTGCATCGCGGCCTGCGGCCCGGCGGGAAGCCTGGGAACCTCCTGCTCACGTGTCCCGTACGCACTGCCTCGAGGGGCCCAGGGGATGAGAGGAAGACTGCCGGGCGGATCCTTTCTTCCTTCCCACAGCCGCACGGCCTCCGCCGCTTCCACGGAAAGGCCTGTACAGAGGAGCCGTGGTGCTGAGGGAAGATGCTCGCGTGCTGCGTGGCCCCGACCGGGCGGCAGTCCAGTGCTGCTAACGGAGAATGCGACACTGGCCCTGCGTGGACCTCTCTTGGTGGGCCAGCGCCCTGGAGGCCCTTCTCTGGCCTTTGCCCAGGTTAGGCATAGAAAAGGTCTTCCCTCTCGCTCCACGTGTCCATCCGTCCTCTCCAGGCCACGGGCGACTGCGCCCCCCGGTGGCCAGGTGGCGCCTCAGGCGCCTTGGTGCTCTGGACAGCCTTGATGAATGGAGTCCCGAACCGGGCTCAGGTGCTGGATGCGCTTTGTAAAAATGGTTAAGAATTCTTTGTCTTTTCTTTCTTCGTTTCTTTTCTTTTTTTTATTTCCTTCCTTCCCATTGAACCCAGGGGCGCTTAACTACTGAGACATCTGCAGCCCTTTTTTATATTTTATTTACAGACAGGGTCTCCCTGAATTGCTTAGGCTGGCTTTGAGCTTGCAGTCCTTCTGGGATTATAGGCGCAGTGCCACAATGCTTGGCTAGGAATGATCTATTCTTATATCTGTTTTATTAAAAAAAAAAAAGACTACAGCAAACAAAACAAACCCATAATCTCGAAGATTATTTGAATACAAGGCTAAGTTTTTGAGTAGTTGACATGGGTTTAAAGAAAATGTTAAATTCAGAATACAAAGATATTGCAAAATTTATGTAGGTGGTACTCAAAGGAATAACAGCAAACAGTTTAGCTATTGTGAATTGTGCTGCTGTAAACATTGATGTGACTGTGTCGCTGTAGTATGCTGTTTTTAAGTCCTTTGGGTATAGTCTGAGAGAGGGATAGCTGGGTCAAATGATGGTTCCATTCAAACTGGAGCCAACCTAGATGCCCTTCAGTGGATGAATGGATTAAAAAAATGTGGCATATATACACAATGGAATTTTACTCAGCATTAAAAGAGAATAAAATCATGACATTTGGAGGTAAATGGATGGCGTTGGAGAAGGTAATGCTAAGTGAAGTTAGCCAATAACCAAAAAAACAAATCCCTAATGTTTTCTCTGATATAAGGAGGATGACTCATAGTGGGATAGGGAGGGAGAGCATGGGAGGATTAGATGAATTCTAGATAGGGAAGAAGGGTGGGAGGGAAAGGGAGGGGGCAGGGGATTAGCAAGGATGGTGGAATGTGATGGTCATCATTATCCAAAGTACCTGTATGAAGAATCAAATTAGGTGTCAACATACTTTATATATAAACAGAGATATGAAAAACTGTGGTATATTTGTGTAATAAGAATTGTAATGCAAAAAAGTACATGTATAAAGGCATGAATTGTCATGAACATACTCTATATACAAAGATATAAAAAATTTTACTCTATATGTGTAATAAGAATTGTAATGCATTCCGCTGTCGTGTATTTAAAAAAATAAAATCGATAAAACTAAAAAAAAAAAAAAAAGGAATAACAGCAAACAAGACTGACAGTCTCACAAAGTCAATAGAAGGAATAGGTGGACATGATGGTTAATTTGTGTGTGTGAACTGTTAAACGTTTTTGAATGAGATTAATATTTGAATTTATGAAATAGGTGAAAGCAATTGCCCTCAGTGTGGATGGGCCTCATTCAATTAGTTGAAAGCCTGAATAGAACAAAAAGACTAGCCTCCCTGGGCAATAGGAGAATCTCCAACACACTCCCCTCGGATTTCATCTGCACCATTATTTCTCCTAGTTCTCTAGCCTGCTGGTCTCCAGTGCAGATTTTGGACACACCAGTTTCCATAATCACATGAGCCAGTTCCTTTTAATAAATCTCTTTGTAGATATACACATCCTATTGATTTGGTTTCTGTGGGAAATCCTGGCCTGAATACAAAGGGTAATTTCAAAGAGTCCTTTGTTTGACATTAAGTGTTTAGGAGAAGACTTGACTAAAACACGAAGCTCTGAAATGCTGAAGGTGTTACCCCATCACCTATCCACTGGGCAAACTCACCCTAGCTTGGGTGCTCATCTCTTCCTTCCCCTTCCCACCAGGTCCTAACAGCTGCTCACTTTTCCTGGACGGGAACAGTGTAATGTTATATAGATGGAGCTCTGGACCTAAATCAGGATATCTAGTGTACTGGTTCAGTCTCCTCACAGTTTGCAACATTAGTTTATCAAAGTTCCTCCCCACTCTCAAATTCTGTTATATCTATGTGATGAGAGGGTTCATAGATGATATCAAAAATCTTTTTTGGAGGTGAGCATCTTTTTCTCATTCCTGGTCTCTCTCTGCCATTTTCTTCATTTTGCCCCTGAAATGGTAGGATGACTTAACTGATTTTGTAAAAATAATTGGCTAGGCCCTGCCCTGCTTCTACTTGAGAACTGCAGAGATGATCTGTGCCTTGATAGGGGCCTATCCCTATTCACTGAACCTTCCTCAGGGAGCATGCCTCAGCCCAGGCCTACTGTGATTGGGTGGGTAAGTCCCCATGATCTAGGGTCTAAAATGAACAAGCTCTAGCTAATAGGCCTAGATTCACTGCCTGTTATTTAACCACTATTGTGGAAAAAGGTGGCATTTTGGCTACCATATTTTCTGTTTTATGTTTAAACTTGTTCAGAACAAAAGCAGGAAAATAAAGTAATGCTTTTTATTGAGCTCCTTTTCTAGCACCTTTTAATTCTTACATTAAATAAGACGATGAAAACATAATGAATAAATACATAATAATGGGCCAATTTAACTCTTTGTAGGATATGTACATCTTAGGAACACTGTAAGGCTGGGGATATAGCTTAGTTCTAGATAGTTGCCTAGCATGTGCAAGCCACTGGGTTTGGTCCCCAGAACTTAAAAAAGAAAAAAAACACTATAACTGCTCTGAGAAAATGAAAAATGGCAATGTTTTATGGTAAACATCATACAACTAAACTCCCCAATGGAAAGTATATTTTGAAGACCTTTTTAAAGATGCCTCAAGTAACACACGTCTGTCAATCAGTCAACAGTTTTTTAAAAAGTTAAAAACATAGATTACGAAGTTGAACTGTCTGGATTCAAATCCTGTCCATGTCCCTTACTAGCTGAGTGACCTTGAGTGGTTTTCAGTTTTTCCATCTACAAAATAAAGGTAATAGTAAGAACTTGAAAAACCTTGGTAAGCACCGTAACTTCTGTTATGTGTCAGGCACTGTGTTAGTCCTAGATCTGAGGAATTTTGCCTCTAGATTAAAAATCTATGAAACCAAGAAAGAAAATTGATTGAAGAGTTTGTGGGAATAGTAAAATCAAATGTGAACATTTGGTCCAGTAACAAGGATAAATTCGGGGACAAACCTGACCTAGAAAACAGGATCAAGGTCATCTTCCCAGGATGAATGCCTAAGATTGACACCAGTTTGACTAACAACTTCCAAACCCAGGAAGTTGTTTTGGACACCTGAAACAAGGTAAACAATGTACACGGGGCTTTGCTTCTGATAATACTGAACGCAATTCCTCCACCCTGCCACCAGGTGTCTACAGACACTCACACTTCCCCTCTAATACTATAAGCAACAAATATGGGAGCTGGAACTGAGACAAAAGTAACTGGCCACAGGGCACAGTTTGTTAGTGATGGACTCTGCACTGGCACCAGGTTCAGGTGACTGGTGAGTACTCAGCCCCAGAGTCTCGGTCGAGGAGAAGAAACAGATGTCATTACAGCTAAAGAGGAATCTTCTACTCCACCAGCAGAGGGGTTTAAATCCCACCTCAGTCTCCTGAGCCTCCTCCCCGAGGTCTGACACTTTTCACTGTTGAAAAGTCATGTGTGACTATGTCTTCAGATGTCAGTGCTGAAATTCTCGGCTTCTATTAGCAAGCCCAGATACACTTCTTCCTTGTGCCTTTGATGTCCCTCTCCCTGTGAATGCAGAAGCACCTTAGCACTGTTCAGTGCGAGCAGAGGTGTCATGTCACCAACTACAAGCATTCACCTCTCTCCCCCTTCTTAGTTCTAGCTGTCGACAAACCTAAAGGTAACTACATGCACCTTTTTTCCCCATAAGCACACTGTACTTGTAGCTCAGGCTCCACCATTAGCTACCAATCGTGCTTTGGTTTGCCCTACCACGGCGTATGTGTTTGTCTTGCTTATATGAATGCACTCCACCACCACTACTAGGTGGTAAGTTCCTTGAGGAAAGGGATTCTGCTCTCTATTCCTCCTAGCGCTACCCGGGGCAGCTTACACAAGGAATGCTTAACGCATTGACCTCAGTGGTGACAAACATCAGAAGTTTGTGTGCCTTCTGGATGATGGGGTCTATGTCCATGTTTCCTCTCTACCTACAAAACTGCTTTCTGGGAAACGGCATGTCTCCCTAGTGGCAACACTGACTCTGGCTGTAGACATGTCAGCAGTATGATGCATGGCACAGGACCCTAGATACTGGGTCAATATCAGGCTGAACAAATCTGAGGAAACAAAGGGAGACATGGGCACAGAAACTTCTAGAGCTTGAACATCCCCTGAGTCCCTACAGTGGTCCAGGAATGTCAGAAGCTGCCCTTGTCACGTCATCCAATCAGCCACTTGCCACCTAGATTCTGGCGTTCATTGTTCTCTGCACCAAGTCTCCCAAAATAAAGCCACCCCATCTTGTTCCATGGGAGCCCACCTCGTCATTTGC